TTCGCACGGGCCCAACTCTGAAGCCTGTCAATGTCCCTCTGGATCTTTTGGTATATCTAAGGGTAGGAAAGCAGAAAAACATTGGGTTTTTTTTTTAAGTTATGTAATAATAATAATAATAATAATACAGAATAGCAATGAAAAACCTTTTCTATTTGTCTCCATGCTACTATTTCCAGTAAAAGTTTTCATAATATAAGCATCTCCACTGCATATGATAGAGATACTGTAATATTCTGCTGCCCTCTAGCCAACTATGTGAGTTATTTGTCGCAGTCTGTGAGGGTCTGAAATGATTTAGGCATCTTGCCTTTATACATCCATGCTGCTGCTGAGCTGTTATTTGACAGTTAGTTATTTTTAGATTAAGAATTTACCTGTGAGCAAAATGGTAATTTCATTTCCAAAATGAAATCACATCATGTGTTTGCTCACGGAGTCTCTGGTTTAAAAAACTTTTAAAACAAAATCTGTCAACCTGTTCTTAGAATTAGATACAAACACTGTCAGTAAAAGAAGCAGCAATGTTATTTACCTAATTGATAGCATGTTAGTGTACAAAGATTTTTGTTTCGTTTAGCAGTTTTATTATCATATTGGCATGTAGTTTATATTGGCAGGTTATTGCTGAAAATCATTAATTATCACCCATACAAGCTTTAATGCAAATCCTTCACATACATGTTATATTTATTAGGTTAGCTATAAGCAAAGAAAGTGCTATAATTCCACTGGAGAGTGGAGAAGGTATTTAATAGCTAGCACTTCACTTTATTTGAAGGAAGAGAAATAATTTAAATATTTGATATAGAACCGTGAAATTATTAGGATTTTATGAAGTATTCTGCTCTGTCCTATAAGTTGTTCTTGGTTGGGTTTTTTTACTAACTGCTTTAGCATATTCATATTTCAGTGAATCAGCTAATACCAGCATTAGTCTCTCTTTCTCCAGTTAGAATGAGTTATAAGTTTCATCACTGTTACCTAAGGCCCGGTCTGTTTTGGAAAAGGTTTGCTGAAGTAATTGTGCACTTCTGTTGATGTTACAATTATATTAGTTCAAGTACATCTGTGAGGGAGTGTTTTCTATTACTTAGTGGATTGTGTATATTTATTTTTGCTGATATCTCTGGACATCAGTACAAATCTCCTACTGTGTTGTTGCAAAGGGTGCTTCATTTTATAGACTCTCCCAGCAGACACTTCAGATTAGTGTGAAATAATTGCTTTTTTATAAGTTTGTTCCAGAAGAACCCAGATTCTACTCATTATTTAAACATAAGCAGTTTAGATACTGTATGAGTACACTACAGCTAAATTGGATATGCATCTATGTGTAGACAGAGGCTTTCAGAAGGTTGTTCTTTTCCTTAATAACTTGCTATATCAAACATTAAATTTTAGCTCCAGTTCTTCCATTCATTAAATGTTTTGCTCCGAGGTTCCCTATGTGCATAGAAGTGAATAAATCTCTGGTATCCTGGCTTTAAGTACTGCCCCATTTGAATGTGTTTATGTGAATATAGTGCTATGCTCCATTTATGCTTAGAATTTACCACGAACTTTTCAGGTCTTAAGTTTCTTCATCCTTTCATGACTACAGAACTCACACAGGAACAGTATTTTTAAAAATTTGGAAAATTATGAAGATTCTTTCTTTGTAATCTCTGTATTGAATTAAAATATCCACCTTTTTCTGGTAGATATTTTTTCTTGTAGATATTGATTACAGTTATCTCTTACAGGACAACAGTACTTGTACTGTCACTTGCTGATTCCATAGAATGAATTTCTTTGAGTTTGCTCCAGTAAGACACAGACTTTAGAAATTTTGGTGTAGCAAGGAAAAATATATTACCTTTCTATTTTACTCTGATTAACAGACTGAGTTAGTTTGCACTATAGGGCGTTTAATGCTAATTAAAGATCTCTGATATAAATTCTGCTCATCAAAGGGGTCAACACTTTCTGTGTGCTTTTTCCTCCAGCTGTTGGTTAGAAACAACAACCTTTCTGACAAGATTACAGTTCTGTTTGGAAAAATTGAGGAGATCTCCCTCCCTGAGAATGTTGATGTGGTGATTTCTGAACCGATGGGTTATATGCTGTTCAACGAAAGGATGTTGGAAAGTTACCTCCATTCCAAAAAATGGTTGAAGTCAAATGGTGAGTTAGCCCCTGCATAGAGACAGGAAGATAAAAAGCTTCTGAAAGAATCAAAAAAGACTTGAATTGGTGGTCCAGGATTGTTTGGTTTTATACCCTCATTCTACCTCTACCACCAACATCTAGGGGACCCAGGGGAATTAATATAATGATGCGGTCACCATTGCTACTGTACTATGCTGTGACTTCTTGCTGTTTCACAGTGGAAATAGCTTTTGAGTATGCTGCTGTTGGACTGCTAAGTTCTGCTTGTGTTTTAATCTTAACCTGCTGCAATATATACTGTGATTGCATCTCTGTTGCAACATATCACAATAGACGATGGCACACTAGCCTCAACTGCCATACAGTGGAATGTAGATGAGAGAGGAATGGTTAAATAGGATGAGATTTTTTTGTGGAAAAAGTCTAATATATTGTCTTTGGGAAAACTGTGAAGTTCAAATCGTTTTGACATCCTTTCATTGGGCTTCTCCCAAATACCTTATTCTAATACTTGGATGTTGCCTTTTGAGTGACATATGAGAGATTCACAGTGTTCAGTGGTCTGTATTTCATCCCTCCTGTGTTTGTTGGAGTGTTGAATGGAATCTGTAAGTTCCAGGGCCTCATGGGAATCTTCTTTGAGAAGCAAATATGAGCATCCAATTGCAGAATGATAAATCTTTCTACAGGAACTGCTGAAGACAAACTATGACGTCTCTCTTTAAAAGACTTCTTTAAAGAGACCTTTCTCAGATAAAGTTACTGCAGCATGGAAGTTTTTGAAGCCTGGGCTGAATCTGTGCCTCAATGCAGGGAGCTAATGACTTTGCTGTTGAGTTGTTTCAAACTTGCAAAGCACATTTGGGTAGTATTTTTAAAGTCAGACACTGATCTTAAGTCTCCCATGTAGATTCTTAAGGCCTAGTTTCTTAGGGGGGCTTCTGAAAACTGTTTTAAATGAGTGAAGGCCTTGAAAGATACATGCCTAACTTTCTGGTTGCTGGCTTGTACAATGGGGATGAATCACTGTATGTGGTGATTGTTAAACTTAATGATTGTCTAAGAAGTGAGCTGAAATTGTGATATTTTGAGTAAGTTGCTAATATTTAGTTCCAGTTAGGTTTGGAAACTTTCTGTCCCAAATTCTCTGCAAACTTTTTAATCACCTCACAGCCAGTTTAAAAAGCATGTCTATTTTGTTAGTGGGTGTTGTTCTTTGTATAAATTCCTGTGGACTCCTTTTCACTCCCCTCCTTTACCTGTCATCCTCTTCAACTATGTAGGCATTGTGGTTTATACCAGATTAAAAAAGGGTGAGGAAATATGCTCAAATGTAGTTCAAAATGACCAGGCTTTGTTTCCTGCTTCCATTGACACATGCACAATGGAATACAAGGGGTTTTGTTTAAGCTGCTAGGCAATCTGATGCACTGTCCACAGAAAATAATGGAAAGTAATTCCTCTGGTTTCCTGAGCCATTAAGGTGCGAGGTCCTAATGAAAATGCGTTCTTGCAAACTAGTAGATCAGGATTTCATTCCCTGCTCTGTCAGTGATTTGCCACTTCATGCAAATAAAATTCTGTTTCTCGATTTCAGCATGTGTTAAAAAAAAAAAAAAAAGGTGTAATATATATTTTTGTGTTTGTAAAATTTTCAGTATTTAGTCTGAAGTGCTATGTGTTTCCTGGATAAAAGTCTTAAGAGTGAAGTGCATATAACTACTTCATCCAGTAACACCAGTTCTTCAGAATTTGACCCAAACCATACCCAGCAGTTTAATTCAAGATCAAATCTGAGCTTTAATGCAAATCCTTCACACAGATGTTATATTTATTAGGTTAGCTATAAGCAAAGAAGGTGCTATAATTCCACTGGAGAGTGTTGAGAAGGTACTTAATAGCTAAGCATTTCACTTAATTTGAAGGAAGCTAAACAATTCAAATATTGGATATAAGACCATAAAATTTTTAGGACTTTATGAAATATTCTGGTCTGTTCTATAAGTTGTTCTTGGTTGGGTTTTTTACTAACTGCTTTAGCATATTCACATTTCAGTAACCCATATATTAATGAAACTACATATTAAGATATCTGAAGTGTATGACAATGCTGCTTCTGAACTGGTGGTTTCTTGCTACTGAAGACATTCCTGTAGAGATGTCTGTGGGACTATAGAATCACAGAATATCCTGACTTGGAAGGGACTCACGAGAATCATCAAGTCTAACTTGATGCTGATTGAAGCTGATCAGAGGGCTGGAGCACCTCTCCTATGAGGACAGGCTGAGAGAGTTGGGGGTTTTCAGCCTGGAGAAAAGGCAGCGCTGGGGAGATCCAATTCCAGCTTTCAAGTACCTGAAGGGGACCTACAGGAAAGCTGGTGAGGGACTGTTTATCAGGGAGTGTAGTGACAGGACAAGGGGTAATGGGTTTAAGCTGAAGGAGGGTCGATTTAGATTAGATATTAGAAAGAACTTCTTTACTGTTAGAGTGGTGAGGCACTGGAACAGGTTGCCCAGAGAGGCTGTGGAGGGCCCATCCCCCAGAGTGTTTAACACCAGGTTGGATGGGGCTTGGGGCAACGTGGTGTAGTGGAGGGTGTCCCTGCCCATGGCAGGGGGGCTGGGACTAGATGATCTTTGAGGTCCTTTCCACCCCTAACCATTCTGTGATTCTATAACTCCTGATTCCACACAGGGCAACCTTAACATTAAACCATGTATTTAAGAGCATTGTCCAAATGCTACTTGAACACTTGCTTTTCTACTTTATATTGTCTTTTGTTACTAGGAATGATGTTCCCAACATTCAGTGACATTCATTTGGCTCCTTTTTCTGATGAGCAGCTGTACATGGAACACTACTCCAGAGCCAATTTTTGGTAATGATTATTTATGTTATTTTATTTTTATCAAAGATTCAGTAGAGGTTAACAATTAAATCAGTTCTTTGATTCAACATAAACTATCTGTCAACATTGAAAGAGAATGCTTTTGTGTTCTCCATGTTCACTTCTGCTCTGGCCCACAGTTACACTGTTTATTGTGCAAGTGTGAAGGATCTCTCAGGAAGTGCTAGAACTGACTAGGTCTCCTCTGGAAAGAGAAATTGACTCTATAAAGCATCCACCGCAAGAAAATGCATTGACTGTGAATCAGGTGCTAGCGTTTCCTTTGCTACACCAAAGTGTAGTATGGTGCAGACGGTGATCATTGTATTGCCTGAAGTCCCAAGTGCATGAGCACAGGAAAGATTCCTTGGCAGTCTTCACAGAGATTAAGTATTAATTCCCATGTCCTGAACAATTTCCAATTTGGTAGTTGCTTTCTGTCCACCTAAATTTTTCATGCAGCTTTAACTAGAAATTGTACTCCTTTTGCCTTGGAGTGTCCTACTGCTACTATCCACTGTTGAGCTGTTGCTGTGCTCTATATAGGAGCAAACATTTACAGTGATACTCTAATGAGGAGATGACTCCATTTCAGCAAAGGTCAATCATTCCTAAAAGTGTGATAATGTATAGTCTACCATAGAAGAGCAGGCTGCTGTCTTTGTTGGTGAAAACCTGGCAAAGATAGAAAGATACAAAGCATAAATATACAGCAAGTGGTTATAAATAGTGTGCATTTTGTCTGTGTTTCTCCTCAGTGATAAACAAACAACTCAATTATACAGTACAGCAAACATATGGAAAAGGGTAAAAGATCACTTGCAGTTACTAGTGTCAGCTGATTTCCTCTGTTGTGCTTATTTGAGTTCTTTCCTTAAAGATATCTTGTCAGATATCTTTAAGGCAAATCATGTGGGCATCTTCCCCTTACACAATTAGCACAGAACTAGTAATGCAGAATTTATCAGTATTAAAGGGATATTGCCAGATTGGTTTAGACTAACTCATCCACTTTGAAAAAAGTTATGATAGTTTAGGAGTTGTATGATGTTGTCACAATGAGAACAAACATTTAAAGTTTCCCGTTTTAAGTGCCTCTGAAGACTTGGAAGGCTTGACCATGGTTTTGTATGTAGACGACACTTCCATCACAAGGATTTGAGCTTCCTTGTGGTTTCCCCTTTCCATCCCTTTTTGTTTATATTATCTGGAAGTAAAGATATCTATTAAACTTCTCAATGAGTTGATGAGATGGTTATATGTAGGAGGAGGATTACTGCAAGCATGTATATTTTCATTTCAAATTTCATACTGGAAGTAGCCTGAATATACATTAAATGCATATTTGCATGCATTGGTAAGATAAAAATACTATTTTTTTTCCCCATTCAGTTAATATAGGATGACGTTTATTTTCCTCTTTAATGTCAATAAAAAGGAACAGACCTGTAATACAGGTGTCCTCATCACTATTTTGATTTATATAAGGTCCACCATCAATTCTGGAATAGCTCAAGATTACAAAAGTAGCTTAAGAGTTCCTCAGCCCTTCTCCCTATTCTCTGCTTGCTGTGTGGATTCTTTCAGAAGCATAGTGTGAAATGTTGCCATATGTCCATTTGAAGGGATCGTGTCACCTCAGTGACACGTGTGCAGAAGGTGAAGTAAGCTAAGGAGGCCTGCAAGATGTCTCTGTGAAAAGTAAAGTAAGCTAAGGGGGGCTGCAATTTGGCCTCTCGGCAGACAGGAGATTTTTTTTCACTTCCCCTGCCGTTTACAGTTAGTGTTCCTGAGTCTGGTTGGAACCCAGAAAAAAGCATTTTCCCTAAACGTTTTGTGTGTTACTGTTTCTAGGTACCAAGAATGCTTTTATGGGGTCAACCTGTCCAGTCTGCATGGTGCAGCTGTGGCTGAGTACTTTCGACAACCTGTTGTGGTAGGTTTGTACGTCTGGCAGTTATTTTTTGTGGGTTTCCCTCTTCCTATCTTGTCCTCTCCACAAAATCCTACAGGTACAGTAGCCTCCTTGTTTAACAGAGCTCTGTGGCTGCTGAGTAGAGAGCCAGTAACTAACTCTGTGAGTGTGAACAGAGCTGCTGTCAGAGGTTAACTACTATATGTAATATTCCTGATTTTGCTATGAATAACAGATGTATAGAGATATGCACACATTAGGAAGCCACAGCATGTGAACAACTGTCTTCCTAACATGCAACTAGCTTCCCTCAGTGTTTGCAGTCTCTTAAACAAGTGACTTGACCTTGATTTTTCCCTACCCATCTCTGATCCACAAATTAAAGGAAAAGAGAAAGCAGCCAAGCAAATAGGTTTCTGTATTATGAATCAATCTTTTTTAAAAATATGTAAATATCCTAGGAGCTGCTGTTCTCCTTCTTTCTTTTTAGTAAAAGTCTAGGTGGTACCTAGTTAGAAAGAACGCAGGAGAAATACTTCTCACCTCTCTAGGAAAAAAACCTAAGCAGTCCCCACCCCTCGCCCCAGTATAATGTTTCAGTGTAAGTGCAATGAAAAGGTTCACTCTCATAAATCTGACTGTAACAAATCTTGGCTAGTTTTAGGCTAACTAGTTTAAGTAGTTATAGCAGTGTAGCTGCTGTCACATGGAGACTCTAAAGCCTGTCCAGAAATCTGGAAAGACCATCAGACTACTGATGTGACCGTCTGCACTCGACTGCTTTTAGTACTTGAAACGTATAAGAGAAAACTCTCAATTGCCTTTGTAAATTTCAGCCATATCTTTGACTATAGCATGGTCATTCTCAGTGCTGTGGCTCTTTGGCTTTCAGTTAGAGAATGGAGTAATCTGTAGGACCGCACATACTTGCATCGTGTATGAAGTACATCTTTGGCTTTGATTTCTCAGCTAAGATTCTTCCTCCCTTGAAGAGATCAGAAATGCATTGTCCAATAACAGCCACAATAAATAGTTTTTTCTTTCAAAAAATCATAAATCTCCTTGGCTTCCCCTTAGTCTGTAGATAGATGTTAGTTCTTAGATGGGTTCACTGGGGGGGATGTGATACAACCCTTTACGTTAAGAGTTTGCTTTGCTTATGAAAGAGCTTGTGAACAGTGATTGATTCGGATTAGTACATGTGATTAAAGAAGAAAAATGAAGGGAAGGGAAAAGTTTTCATTTGCTGACTGACTACTCCTAAGTTTTTTCTAGAGGGCAATTGCTATTAAGTAATTTTGCTTCCTATACTTCATAATTTAATTTCCAAGTATTTCCATACTGTCTTAGTTTGGCTAAGTTTACTATGCAGTGCAGAAGAACTCATTAAAATGTGTGTAGTTCAAAAATAAAAACAAGCCCAAATAAACCAGCCAAATAAGCCCACCACTTTTTTTTACAAGTAATCAATTTCTGAACAAATTTTATTGTTTCTACATTGAATAAAACAGTCTTTTGATAGGTATGTAAGCTATCAAATATATTAAATCCTGGTAGTATTGCAAAATCTAACTGTTCTAAGGAATGCTAAAAAATGAAACATTTAAACTAAGTTTATTGGGGTGAAGGTTGATTTTTGTCTTTTTTCCCATGTTTTTTAACAGAAAACAAGTTTATACACTGACAAGAGAGAATGATAACACTTGCAACTCTTTTTTTTTCTTTTTTTCTTTTTCTTTCTTTCTTTCTCTCTTTCTGTCTTTCTCTCTTTCTCTTTCTCTTTC